GGAGTCTCAGCAGAAAAGGGCGGAGTGGATGCTCGTCATGTTAAAACACACAGAGGAAAAGCCATGAACACGGAAGGCCTCTTACAGCCACAAAAGGGGCCACGGCCTCACTTGGTCTAGTGGGACAGCGCTGAGCAAACTGGTTCCTTGTGCAGCTCAGCCCGTGCTCTGCCCAGGGACTGAGCTCAGCCTGTTTCCTTACCCAGTCCAGTCCTGGCCCCTGGAAAAGGGAGGTAGGGGACCAAGCCACCCAAGGCTACAGAGCAGCTACAGCCTCCATCTCTGACCCTGAACCACTGGGCCACCTGCAGCCACACCTGCCTCCCCCCACCCAGCCCTGCTCCCTCACCTGGAGTTCCGAAGACCTGGCCCTTTAAAGCCGTCCTGGGCTGTTTCTGGCTCTACACTTTTAGGTCATGCATCTTCCGATGAAGTGATGTTATGCAATGCATGATGGGAAATCAGCTGCTTTCCTGTCAGACTGCCCAGCCTGCAGGGATGGCTTTAAGCAGCTGTTTTGGTAAATCAGCCGAGGCGCTGACTGATGGGGTGGGCCTGTCGAGTCCAGCTGCTGGAAGCCTGCCTGGCAATGGTCATTTGCATAAATAGCCCATGATGCTGTTTTTGCAAAACCGAGACGCGTCTGTGCTCGGTCCTGCACTGAGATTGGAATCGCGACTGTTCAAAGCCATGCAACTGCCCGGTAACGCCCCCTGCTCTGGCAGTCGCAGGGGGCTGCAAGGTTCAGTGCCCTGCCTAGCTGCCCCAGGGTGGCAGTAGCTGCGGGTCCGTATGCCCAGCAATGCACCTGGTGCACTAGATGGAAGGACACCTTAACATGTCCGATGGAGCCTGGGCCGCTCCAGTCCCAGCAGGGCTGCTCGCTTGGGTCTCTGGGAGGCAAAGCAACGGCATGACGTTCCCAGCTGTTCTTTACAGCAGACCCCCGCGTCCATCGGTGCGTGTCCCAGAGCAAGCACAGTGTATCTGGTCAGCTCACGTGTATGCAGGCTTAGCTGTCGCCTCAGCACAATGGTTGAAGGTCCAAGTGTAAACCCGAGGAGAACGGAAGACGCTGGGCTGCCCCGGCCGGGCGCTCGGTGGCCCGAGGCAGAAGCTGGCTCGTCGCATTGGTGGAACAGCACGTAGAAACAATGAGACATGCAGCAGGGGGAAGCGACGGTGCAGAATAAAATGGCCCCTCCCTGTCTTTCCCCATGGCTCAGGACTCTCTGGAAACTCTTCCTTGGCCACAGCGGGTGTTGCAGCGTAACACAAAATGGAAGCAAAACCAAAGGTTGCAGAACTGAGGTATCGCGAGCGCTGGGTTGCTGAGAATGTCCATAGGCGACGCTGGGCGCGGGCGCATCCTATTTGTTCTTCCCCAGAGACGCGTCCACCTCTTCCTCCGGCTTGAGGGAGTGCCACTGGGCGATGGGCCGCCGGGGGTTGGCCAGCATGTCGGACCAGTGCCGCAGCTCCGTGCCGCTGGCGCTGGAGCCCACGAATATTTTGCCAATGGCTTCGTTCTTCCCCAGCTTGTCGTAATCCAGGACAGTGATCACCACCTGCACTTTCTGAGGGACACGGACACCGTGTTACTACCAGCCTCGCAGCTGCAAAAGCCCAGTGCAGCCCCCGTTCCCCTGCAGCTGGGAGACCAGTGCCAGCCTGCCCAATGACACCTTGTGGCCCTGAGCCCCAGTACCCAAGGGAATCCTGGTCCCAGCTCCCCCAGGCTCACCCCGTGTCTTCAAACAGCTCTCCTGTCCCAGGGTAGGGCTCCCAGCTGAAGGGGCAGGTCTGGCCTGAAAAGGGGCCATGGAAAATTGGCAGAACACCTACTCCCCGTGTCCCAGCTCAGCTTCTGAAACAAGTTAGTCTCTTGGCGCTCCCCGAATCCTGCACCATTTGAATTGCCGCGGCACCGGGACAAGCCCTGAGGGCGGCTGCAGGGGCAAGTGTGAAGGTGCTGATACCAGCATGCACGCCGGTCAAGGCACCTTTAGTCCGAATCCCTGCACCACACGAGTGCTTGTGCTGCTAGAACTGTCCGTTTAAACAAATCGCTCCTGTGACCATCAAATCACCGAAGGGACCTCGAGAGACAACGAGGCCAGTCCCCTGCCCTCACGGTGGGACCCAGCACCGTCTAGGCCATCCCTGACAGGCGTCTGTCCAACCTGCTCTCAAATATCCCCAGGGGGCTGGGTCAGTCTCGCGCGGTAGTTCCCAAACTTTTCGGCATCACGTTTCATTTTTGAGAAACCCTCAGCCCCTCCCCCCAAAGCAACAAAACTTGAGCAAAAAAGAAAAAAAGGCACTGACCAGCCAGCAACACTTGATTGGGAGGGGCTGGGTCGCCTCGCACCCCGGGAAGTTCTCCATGTCCCCAGTTTGGGAACCTATGGTCTAGCTCATCTGAAGGCCGGAGTGGTCACGTTATGTGGATGGAGCATCACGGGGGAAGGGTGTGACCCGCCCAATCAGAGGATCCCAACTAGCCATGTCACCCGTCCCTATGCCCCACCCCAAACCTCCCGAGATGAGAATCTCAGCACAGGCACCTGGATCTGCTCGAAGGGGATCTCGAAGCTGAAGGACTCGTTGAAGTAGGGGTTCAGGGTCTTCTTCTTCACCGTGGTCTTCTTCTTCTTCAGCCTCTTGCCGTTCTGCGTCAGGTGGATCTTCACGTAGGGATCTGCACAGGGACAGGAGAGGGCAGGGGAGCCAGGCTGGACTCGGGGGTGCGAGCAGCAGTGAGTGCATCATGCAATGTGACCCACTGTCCAATCAGGATGATTGCTCCGAATACAGTTCAGTCTCTAAGGGGGCGGAGGTCTGAGAGCACAGGGCTCTTCAGTCGAGCAGGCAGCTTGGGTCAAGCCAGGGAGACGGGGAGCCGTGACGGGAGCCAGACGTGTTGCTGCTGCTCCAATACGACCACCCAGACCCGGTTCTCCATGCCCCAGAGCAGCGTGTGTTTGAGCTAGCCATGTCCTCAGCCCTCTGCACTGGGGTCGGCACATGCTAGGGCCACGGGGAGTCCAGCCCCCCAGAACAGACACAGAGCCAGACCCGCTCCCCCCACTTGGAGCTGGAGGGCTGGCTCCGGGACAAGAAGGTGAAGGTCCCTAGAGCACTCTTGTAGCTGGAGCTCTTTGGCCTGCTCTTCCTAAAGCCCATCTGCAAGCCAGTCACTGGGGGGGGGGGGGGGGGGGGGGGTTTCTGCGAGTGAGCCGTCCTGGGGAGCAGCAGGCATGGCCATGGCTGGAGATGGGTGAGGGGAGCCTCTGGCACCGAGCACTCCGGTGTGTGCCCAGAGCATGGGATTCCTTGCCGGGATTACAGAATCACAGGGTCGGTCCTCAATCAACCCCACCTCACTCTTCCCAGCCAGGGCTTTGTTAGGCCAGGACGTACACACCTCTAGGGACGGAGAGTCCACCCCCTGCCCCCCCCAGGGAACCCGTCCAGGGCTTCCCCCCGCCTAGGGAAATCGCTCGTCCTTATCTCCAACCTAGCCCTCCTCCAAGTGCATTTCCCCGCCACGGCAGGGGCCCCGGTGCACCGTGCTCCTCCTGTTCGGCCAGTGGCACATCACAGCCTAGTCTCGGGCTGTTCTGCTGGGCTGCCTGGGATGGACAGGCGCTCAGGAGTGGCGACTGTTCCCTTCTGGCCTGAGGCTCCATGACGCTACAGGCCCCCAGACACCGCCCCCGGCCCCTGAGCCCTGCGTAGGGGAGTCAGCTGGCCGGGCTCAGGAGCGCCATCTGTGGCTGGCATGTGGCGCCGCTCTTACCCGAGAGACCCCCCACGTCCATCTTTTTCAGATTCTTGGCTTCCAGGATGCAGACAGTGAGTTTCCCTGCGGTGGGCACGTACCGCAGCGAGATGCAGATATCTCCCAGCTTCTCTGGCTGTCGAGCAGGGGAAAGCAGAGGTCAGGGCCCTCCCAGGCCCTGCTGTCCCGGGCCACGTGGCTGCAGCACTGAGACTCAAGCCCCGGAAACCACGAGGGGAGATCCAAGAAGCCCTTCACCCCCCTGAGCTAGCCCCTGTTGGACACGGCGCTGCATCGCTGGTGCAGGCCGGCAGGAGGGCCATGGCAGAGGCTTTGACAGCTCCAGGCCGCAGCTGCTGGGAGAGGCAGCAGCTTTTACCAGTTTTGAGGCAAGGTTTTCGCACCAGGAAGACACCATGCAATGGGCAGTGGGACCAGACCTCCGTGCAGGTCTCAGGGCACTGCCAAAGTCCATGTTAAATGGGGGTTTGCCCCCGCTCAGCATGTGCTGACACGTGCTGTAATACTGAGCACTTCTCAGACCAACAGTGCAGAGTTCAACCTCGCAAACCTCTCTCTGGGATTCCTCACGATCAGTAATCCCACTGTGCCTCGGTTTCCCCACTGCAGAGAGGGGCAGGGACATGGCAAATCAGACCTAAAACCCAGCTCTGTGAACTGCCAGCCACAGGCCCCTTCCTCCCCCCCTCCCATTATGTCTGTGCATTAATCAATGGGCACAGAAGAATTCTATCGATGTAGCAGCCAGGCTCAGTGCCTTCCCGAGGTCACGTGCCGGGCTGGCAGACCTGGGAACAGACGAGCCCCAAGCCTGCGGCTGGCCCTCCCCTCTCACCTCCTCCTTCTCCCCGCCCTGCAGGGCTCGCCACTCCTCCACGGGCTGGCCCAGGTCCACGGTGTTCATGGGCACCTTGACCTCCCCAATGATGTCGTGCTTGGAGAAGCGGTCGAAGTCATAGATGGCCATCACCAGGGTCTTCCCGCCCAGCTCCTGGTAGGGAACCTGTGGCGAAGAAGGACCCTTGCAAGCCGCTGCCGTAGCATGGGGCCTGATCTAAGGAGGGATTGGATCCACACCAGCCTGACAGGCTGGGACCCTTCATTGCCTCTTGCACCGAGTGACCAGAATTGCTGGGTAAGCACAATAGCACCATTAAGCTCAATGCATCGTGTGGCCCAAGGGCTCTGGCCAGTCCTTAACGTTGCCTTGGCTCTCCTGCTTTCTGCTGGCAATTATCTGCCGGCAGCTGCGGCCCCTCTGCCAGTTCCTGCCTGGGGCATGGTGGGGCCGAGGCAGAAGGCTGGGCTACAGCCCTGCGGTAGATAGTGGCTGGGAGCAGACTGAAGCGGAGTTCTGACTTAACAGCAAGGCGGAGGGACGGCCACGGCCACGCCCCATGGCAAAAGCAGAGCGCCCTGGAGTCCTGCAGGACAGAGCGGGGTCCAGCCGTCTGGGCTGGGGACCTGGGCGGGGTCTCACCTTGAAGACGAAGGTCTCATTGAAGACGGGGTTGAGGGTTTTCTTCTGCACTTTGGTCTCGTATTTCTTCTTCTTGTCGGGGAGCAGGAAGACTTTGACGTACGGGTCCGAGGTGCCCCCCATGTCCAGCGCCGGGAGTTCGGCCGCTTGGAGGATGCCGACTGTGAGCTGGGAGGGAAGACGGACGTGCCCCTCAGTGAGAGGGAGCAGCTGCTCCTGCTCATCCCCTCAGAAACAGCCCTGGTGGCTCGTCCACGTTCCCTCTGCCCCCCTCAGTCGGGGCGCCTGGTCGCCCTCCCCCAGGCCCTGCTGCAGCAGGGGGCAGATGGGCCTTCCCAGGCGGGGCGCGCTGTGTGCTGAGGTGGGCCTGCCAGCTCTGGGGGCAGAGAGGCACCTTCCCTCCATCTTCCCCTCCTCCCCTCCCAGGTGCTTGGGGAGGGCTAGAGGGGCATGTTGGGCAGTCCTAGCGGGGACGGCAACTTCCCTCCCCCCATCGCTGCCCTTCGCACCTCTCAGAGGCTCCTCAGCCACAGTGTCCTTCGCGCAGCGCGCTCCCCTCCCTGCCCCTCGCCCCGGCCTTCCCCTCCGGCTCTCTCCTGCCCACGGCACCTGGTTAGCCTGGAAATCGTAGTCCAGCGAGAACTGCAGCTTGCCCAGGTTCTCGGGCTCCTTCTCCTCCTCCTCCCCTTCTCCCTCCGTCAGGCCCCACCTCTCAGAGGCTCCTCAGCCACAGTGTCCTTCGCGCAGCGCGCTCCCCTCCCTGCCCCTCGCCCCGGCCTTCCCCTCCGGCTCTCTCCTGCCCACGGCACCTGGTTAGCCTGGAAATCGTAGTCCAGCGAGAACTGCAGCTTGCCCAGGTTCTCGGGCTCCTTCTCCTCCTCCTCCCCTTCTCCCTCCGTCAGGCCCAT